TGGAGGGGAGAGCCCCTGTGGCTGTGACCGGTGGCTCCTACCTACTCCGGCGGCACTGAGCCGGTCACTGCGGTCCCGTACACCGTATCACGCCCAAGCCCGCGTGAAGCACATCGCAAAATTACATACCCCTTTCCCAAGCCCCGGCAACGCTAGGCGAGCCCTCAGAGAGACGCAGGGCAATGGGGAGAGGGGGCTGCGCAGACCCGATAAAAAATTAGCTTAAAAAGTTAAAATGTCCGATACGCACTGGAAACAAGCCAGGCTGCGCTAGGACCCACGTGGGATGCTCCTCCCTCGCCACCCCAGTCCTTGGAAGAGCGAAAGCCTCAGCCCTTAAACACCAGCTCTTCTCCTCCCCGGAGGGGAGCAGCTTCCCGGGGCGGCAGCTGACGCATCCCAGGATTTCTACATGCAAAGCGAATCCCCTCCTGCTGTCGGCCCAGCAGCTTCCTCGTCCCATGCGGGAGCCGGGGGTCAGTGCGCCGGCTCCCCGTGCACGCGGAAGCGGTAGATGCAGGTGTATTCAGGGTGGCCCCAATTGCTCAGCACCCGCAGCTCCACCAGCTGGTACGTGCCCACGGTGTCACCCTTGGGGAGAGGTGGAAAGAAAAACCTGAGCCTCCGAGAGGGTTTCCAAAAACCTGAGAGCTCTCAAGGGCTCAGAGACCCCAGGGGCCCCGTTTTCTTCTTGAGGTCGGGTGCTACGAGGGCAAAGCACGCACTTACCTCCAAGTAAAACGTTTGGATGGGGTCGCCATCATGGTTGTAGGTGAACTGCCCGAGGAGAAGGCCCTCCTCCTCTCCCTCCTCCTTCAAGCCCTATGGAGGGGCAGGGAGGCAGAAAGGGAGAACCAGGGGCGATCAGAGAGGGAGACTGAAAGCGAAATGAACACACCCGGGGCAGAAGAGGGAGAAGGAGACGCAAGCACACTTGGCCCCCACTCCTGCTCTTCCAGGCCAACACAGACAAATGGGGTCAGGGACCAGTGAGGAGGGATGGGGGGAAAGATCAAGAGTTACACCTACTCAATCCCCGCTCCCCCAAAACCCTTCCTGAAGCCCGGTGCTCCCCCTCTGCCCCCTAGTACTGCTTCTTCTTATCCTCTTCAGGATAAGAGCAACCCCCCGGAGCACCCCACAGCCAGGTATGGGGCTT